CAGCAGTTGCTGCTTTTTGCCTAAAAGAAGAAGACCCAGGTCCCAGGGAATGTGGTAACCTGTGAGGGCATAGAAGGCTGCGTCCCACCACTGCCCTATTTGGGTGGTCATTGGACATGCCAGCAAGCAGTGTTCCAGTGTTGCCCTGGCCGGCGGGATTGCCCTAGCACAATAGGAGCAGATGGGGGACAGCAGCCCTCTTTATTCCAGGTTCGTTCCTGATTGAAGACAGTCGGGGGTGGGGAGGCAGCGGTGCAGGATCTGCCATTGGAGGGATCTGAGGCTCGTCGGTGTTATGAACATGGTTGTTTGTTGTCAGAAGACCAACACTCGCTCACATAGATATGCCCATACATACACAGAAGGAAGGGGAGAGGATAGGAGTACCACACCGCACAGGGAGAGATAAACACAGCGGAAGACTTGTCCATGCGATATGACAGAAAACACTGAAAGTGCAATTCGCTCCACAGAATCCTCACAACCAGTCGCAAGGGAAAGTCGAGTAGATCACATCCAGGAAACAATGAAGCAAAGATAGTCACAGTATACACACTGTTTATTAAACTCATAGTCTCAAAATGTCAGGATAACCCCAGTACCATGGTGCGCTGCTCAGAGATGAGCAGTGCTTCACTCCCCAACCCTGAGCAACCGCTATAACTACTCTTGATCCTTGAAACATCAAGCATCACCCATGTACTGCCTCCGGAGGGAAGCGCCACCCTGAAACGGGCCTCTGAGGCCAAGCGCCTCTCAGAGGATGATGAAGAAGACCAGCGCCAAAGTATCTGATGATGATGAAGTGCCAGAGGACTTCCTAGGTGGAAGTTTGTAGCAGCGCCACCTCTCCTGATGAAGATGAGCTCTGAGGAAGATAGTTGCAGCTATGGCTACAGCGCCAAACACCCTGAAACCCTACTCCTGAGGAGGGTCCAGCAGAGCACCAACTTCTCTTGCCTCCACCAGACTCCAGATAGCCCAGACCTCTGAACAGCCCCACATGCTGTTAGAGCACAGCGCAGGTCCCAACTATGGCCGACACTTCGCAGGTCCGGCTATGTCTGTCTCCTCCGACACTGAAGTTGTCACCATTCCAATTCACGCGTTGCGCAGAAGCAATGTACACGGTATCGACTGCCAAAATCCCTTAACCCAATCCTACAATCTATTCATAGAACTACACTAGCCTAGCCTAGACCTAGACCGGACTGACTACACTAGACCGGACTGACTGGACCGACCGGAACTACACTAGCCTAGCCTAGACCTAGACCGGACTGACTGGACCCACCGGTACCGTTTCAATTTTGGCCTCTAGGGCCTCTCCCTACCCGGCTATAAGTTATAGGACTGTCTATCAGCTTAGGCCCGTAGGGCCTGTCTGTCCTAGGGGTAGCCCGGGCCTGCTATTCGCAGTTAGGGTAGTTGTAGGAAATTCTAGTTAGTGCGAGCCTATATTTTTCCCAAATTTGCAGATATGTCCCTCCCGAATTTTCGTTACAGGCAGGTCTCTCGGTTAGCCCTCAACCAAACAAAATTACAAATCTGGCCTACCTATGTTACAGCCTCGGGTCGACGGGTCACCGGCGGCAGAAAACAGCAAATCGTTGCATTGGCATGACCTTGGAATATTTGGACCATGACAGATTTTGCGGCAGCTGTGCATCTAGCGGCAAAACCCGTTCCCATCTATGGGTTACTCCGTGGTTGATGGGTAGTTCAGGGCGTGAGGCTGATAGCCTCCTTTGACCATGTACTTTCAAAAGCTCATGGGTTTATGGCCTGGCCATTCCCATTCTTCCGGATCGAATGGCAATCTCGCCACCCGCATGGTTGGCTCGTACACAGAGTAGCCTTTACCGGTGTCTCCCACTACTCTTCCTTGCATCAACCCTCCCCATTTCTCAGTGGCATCAAGCTTGTCTTTTCTGGTTAGTTTGGAAAACCTAACCCCTGGAAAGTGAGGCTCATGGGCCTGTAATGTGCATTGGCCTTCCTCATTTTCGTGCACTTTGTATATGACAGGCGGGTGGGGCAGGTATGAATATTTGATCACCCATACGTTTTGCTGGACTGTGGAGCCCGTTTTAAAGGCGAGGTGTCAGGCCATGGGGAGGGCTTTCCTCAGCTATAGGGCCTTGGTATCCACAGTTTTGGCATGCTTGAGTTTTCATCACAACTGCTCCATCGTGGCCCAATCTGCCTTTATCGGATCCCATCGTCGAGGATGTAAGGGTTACCAAATAGGGGCTGCCTCCATATGTTATGCCATCTGTTTTTGGGGGGCTGTCTCAGCCTTGGACCACTTTTCCTCCACAATTTGAGCATGTTGGCCCACACAAGATCCAAACGGATATCTAGCCTAGTAGCTTCAATCGAGTATCCACATATTCGTGTTGTGCAGTAGCAGGTATTCACCAGTGGCTGTTAGTGAGCGATTGGAAGGGGTGTACCCAGTTGGACTCAGCAGGCTGCGGGGCCAGATTGGCTATCCGTAGGCAGGCGAGCCGGCCCCACGGGATGTCATTTCCTATCAGTAGCTTGACTAGGACTTTAAAGATTAAAGCACCAGTACCTCCATGTTTTTAGGTCGTTAACGCGGTGGCTGAATCGGTGCGCCACGTGGGTCCATATGCATTTGCATCAGAGCCTCCCCAGAGGGGGCCTAAGACCCCCTGGGGTACTGGTGGCTTAAACCACCAGTACTTGGTCCAGCTATCGGCCGCGGGAAAAATAGAGTAGAAACATTTCTAGTCAGATGAATTTGGGCGCTCCTGTAGTAGCCCGTACATTTCCTAAAATCGTGGCGCGTTAGCAGGCACGACTCTAGGAAGTACTAGTGGTTTAAGGCTTCGCTCTCGCTTTTTTGGGTCTAGTATCCCCAACTCCCCGGCGACTCTTGGTTGTGTAAGTACATCTTAACTTTCTTTGTTCATGCGGCCCTGGGTTTTTGCGCTATTCTTCCATACGAGGGCGGAGATGGAGTGCAAGGCGGCAGCGATGCTGTGGCGCAAGCGAATGTTACGTGCACTGCTGCCGCGAGCACTGCGCTAGCGCCACGCGAGGGCGGGCAGTGCGCTGGCACAGGGCAACTGGCACATGTGCAAGTGCGAGCGCCGACTTGGCGCGAGCGTTGAGCTGCTGTGGGCACTGTTGAGTGAGATGGTGTGAGGCGGATATGGTGGTTGTCTTCCTACATTCCAACGCTTCAAGCGTGCGCATGGGGACCAGAGGTGCGTGATCACGCCACGTCACAGGCTGACATGGCAGATGATCTGGTTTGTGGGATTTCCACGAATTCCACATTGAAGCTCCATTGCCACAACTGCACTCTTGCACGTGGCATAGAGCCTTGGCGGTGTTGGCTACGTCGACGCCAGTGGACTAGGGTGGAGTTAGCCCTTGGTTAACCAAAGTGCGAGGGTTATCATGCGATTGGAGTATATAGAGGAAGATCATCAGGGATATATTCGTCAGCGTCATCACAGCTGGTCATCATTATCAACAGGGAGGTCATCATATAGGATGCATTTGTTCTTCCTCAGGGAGGTTATCATTAGGGGAGCTGCTCTTCATCAGGCTGTTTCCTTGTTCTATTGTTCGTTCCGTCTCTTGCAGGTTATCATCATCTCAGTATTGTTGTTGGGCGGTTATTTTCTTCATCAGCATTTTTGTTCCCTACAATGCCATCAGCATCACTGGTCAATGAATGTAATCATCATCGTCATCATCTTCATCATGTTGTTGTGCGCTCAACGGCACCATGGCATTAAAAAAATTAAAAAAAAAAAAAAAATCATTGCGCAGTGCGCTGCCGTCATCATCGCGCTCTTCTAGGGCATCGTAAAATAAATCATTCCGCATGGCGCTTCTCGCCATCTTCACGTTGATTGTTGACATCATCAGGGTGCGGTGGGTCTTCCTCATCACTGCGCTGCTTCTTCTCATCAACCTATTCGTTAGTCTCTTCATCCTAAGGCACTTCTCGCCATCATCATCACTTGTCATCTTCATGGAGTTTTCTTTCCTCCTTTCTAACTCTCCCTTCGTTAACTAATGATTTGGTTCTGGCGAGATGGTAAGTTGGGGAGAGCCTTCCTCTACAGGGGCATCAGCGGGAGGTGACTACCCTATAGGGAGCAAGGGCAGATTTTGGGGATTGTACCAATTTGGGGTTGGGATTATATCCCAGTGGTGGCAGATTGGGGCAAAGGTTTGATCGAGGCATACTTTTGAGGGAGTTGTATGCCTTGTAGGGAGAATGGGAGGAGTGGGCCTGACCCTAGTTGGGGATGATGAGGATTGCTCTTGATCAGGGCACTTCTGTTCTGCAGAGGCAACAAAGTGTCAGAGTGAAAAGTAGGAGAAGAGGGGGGGAGGAGAAAAAGTCTTCCTTCTCATCAGCTTCATCAACCATTATCATCATCAGCAGCAGCAGCATCAGCATCAGCATCAACTTTTCTATTCTTATTTCCTTGTTTTTTTCTATACTTGAGGTTGTGAAAATTCTCCCCACAAGGTTGCTGGCGTGGAGGGCAGGATGGATTGACTGGGAAAATCTCTTTTCTGCAGGCGGAACACAATAAGGGCGGATAAGGGGGACTGTCTAACTCTGGGGCTAGGAGAGACGGAAAGCGAAACATCATCTACTAGCGGTGGCAGAGTAAGACAAAGATAGCTTGAGGTAGGCTTTTGGGCGGAACAACCTTCTTTGAGGGAAGTAGGTTAGAGGGAGGCGTTCCTATTGTTGGGGTTGTGAGGAACCGCTCAACAACAAAGTGGTTCTAATTAGCGGAGGCAGCAAGGGAGAGGAGGGGTGGTAAGAGGGGAAAAGAGGGGGGGTGGACAAGGAAGGGTCAATCAACATCAAGTATCATCATCATCAAGTTCTCAGTGGTGGGAGGGCCCACAAGTGTTGGGCCCGGCGCAGGGTACCCGGGGTGGAGTGGGCATCATGCTACATAGGGACCTACAAGCTCAGGTGATCGACTCAGAGGTGGATATCTGGGGGAAATGGGCGTGGCTCAAGGTGCTCATAGGTAAGGAGGAATGGGCCTTCATGACGGTGTACGCACCAACACGGGTAGGGGAAAGGGCAAAATTCTTCGCAAGGCTGATGCTTCATGTCCCCAAGGCAGACAGGTTGCTACTTGCTGGTGACTGGAACGTGTCACTAGACGAAGCCTTGAGACCCGGCGCACCGACAACAAATAGGGGGGACGTGAGGACAGTGTTGGAATTCATTGCGGAGATGACGCTGGTGGATCCATTCCCGATTCTGAACCCAGACGACCCAGGTTACACCTGGACTTCCCATCTGCAGCGGGATAGACAGACGGTGACCAGAAGGCGCCTTGACTACTTCTTACTTTCAGAACAGGTGATGGACAGAGTCACATCCGTCAGGCACTTCTGCCACCCGATTTCCGATCACAAACCGGTAGTGGTGGATCTTCGACTGAGTTTGGGCTGCGAAAGAGGGAGAGGCTTCTTTCGCTTGAACAGCCAGGTGCTAAGGGTCCTCGGAGTGGGGGAATGGGTGAAGGATCACATGACCAGATGGGAGGGGGCTAGACATCTGTTAAACTCCAATGCAGAATGGTTGGACGGGGGCCTGGCTATTACGTCCGGGGTGCTTGACGTGATCTCAAGAATTCTGGCAAGGACTAGGAACAAAAGGGAGGCCAACTGTATGAAGAAGGTGGAAGAGGCGGAAGACCGCATGGAGGGCCAACCTATCTCGCGGTTGGTATGGGCCTCAGAACGTGAAAGGAGGCTTGCGGAGTGGGACAACATCCAAGAGGAGAAGCAAAAGCAATGGACGGAGGTACTGAAAGTGAAAGGGATTGAGACACACGACAAAATGACAAAGGAGACATTCCAAAAACTCCAACCAAGCCGTTTGCAGCAGCAGATGATTGAGCTCAAGCACCCGTTCGTCGAGTCCGCACCTCCAGCCTGTTCCGCAACGGGGATGCTCCAGTATGCAAGGATGTACTATGAAGACATACTGACTTCCAGACGACCGCAGGACGGGGTGAACGTGGACTTGTCAAGTGGGACAGACATGTGGGACAGCACAACTGTGAAACTGCATACGTCAGCCAAGCTGAACCTGGACAGACCTTTCACCGTGGAAGAACTCTCCCAAGCATTGAAGTCAATGGTGAAGGGAAAGTCTCCAGGAGTGGATGGTCTCCCGGTGGAGTTTTACGCAGCAAACTGGGGGTGCTTGGCCCGTTACTAGTGGAACTGTACAATGAGGTGCTAGTAGGGGGTAAGCTGGGCAAGGGCATGATGCATGGGGTGATCACGGTCATGTTTATAGCTTAGTTTTCATGAGGAGGGAAAGGGGGAGGGAGGGAAACAAAAAAAAAAAAAGAAGAAGGACAACGTCCTTGAGATATCATTATCCAGCTGACCGGCCCTAGGTAGTTCAGACTTGTACTATTTTAGCATAAGGCTTAGGAGTAGTGGTAGGTAGCTAGTGAACGGTGAAATTGAGAGAAGAATATAACTTAGTTTTTATGAGGAAGGGAAGGGGAAGGGAGTGGGGAAAAAAAAAAAAAAAAAAAGAAGGGCAACATCCTCAAGATATCATTATCCAGCTGACGGGCCCAAGGTAGTTCAGACTTGTACTATTTTAGTCATCTGTTCTCTGTGTAGTTCTAACTCAGGTCTGTAATTTAACAGTTTAAGGGACACTACCAACTGAGCTAGGCCAGCTGGTACCACTGGCAGAACTTCATCCATAACTGAACTTGAATCTCGGTCTGAGAACCAGTCCGCATTGGCTGCTATTACAATCTCAAGGCATGAACCTGGTCCAAAAACTGGCCATCAACTCATGATCCTGGCCTGAAAACTGGCCAGGTTCATGCTTTCTTTCTATCAGCTTAGTAAACAGCAGATACAACCTGCATAAGACAGCCAGAACCCCATGCAAACTTGCAAATAAATCAGGGTATATGAACCAGGGCCCACATACACTAGTGCATTTATATTTGTCAAAGCACGAACATGGTCAGAAAACAGACCAGGTTAGTGCATTTTCACCAGCAGAACCTGGAGCGGGGGTTCACACGAAGTGACCAGACAGTAAGGGAAGTGGAGTCCTTTTCTTGATTTTCCTGGTGGAGTCCTTTCCTTGATTTTCATGGAGCCGGACACATGGCTCACAGTCAACGTCCCCCACAACTATCTTGCGTGCATCCTCTCGCAACGACCATGCCCACACACTGCATCTATCTTGAATGAATCTGATCTCAATCCGAGCGGCATTCAGTCAGTTCCGTTTGCGTATGAGAGCAAATCAAGGTTGAGATTTGCACCCACACTGCATCTATCTTGAATGAATCTGATCTCAATCCGAGCTGCATTCAGTTAGTTCAGCTTGCGTATGAGAACAAATAAAGGTTGCAATTGCATGGCACATTCAGGCGGCAGTCCTCTACTCCCAGCTAAATCTTGTGCCTCAGGGCCTCGTTAGACCCTCCTTGGGAAATCCTAAGGAATTGGGATGAAGTCCTTGGAAAACTTATCGGTTTTCGTCGTCGTTACACCGCGTACTAATTCGATGGGTCCCAAGGAAAACCCTTGGGAGGTCTCCGGCGGCCAATCTCATACGCATACACGCGGCCACAGGGGTGGATGTCCGTCATCATGCTGAGATGTCCATGCGTCCTCGGGCGTGGTCCAGTGGCGTTGGTGAGGAGGCCTACCGGGCTGAAGGAAAAAAAAGGGCGCCAACATCCCAGTTGAAATTTTGAATTTCGAACCCTCCGTTATAACGCATCCGCGCCTGAGCTGTCCTGGCCGCTGGACTGGAGACTTCATCCAAACGTCTGTGCGGAGAAGGGATGGTGGCCATGGCTTAAAAGGCGGGCATTGGAGCGTTGGGCGACGTAGCGTCTATGCGTAATGGTTCTCTACTGCGACATCGCCTTAGTGTTCAGCATGCTCTTCGGGCCGTCACAGCTGAGCGTGAATGTAACGCTTCCGTGAAACGTGGAGAGTGCGAAAGCGGTCCCCATCGGCGTGCAGAAGGTGCAGCGAGGGCGCCGGCGGGCGAACAAGTGGTGGGCACTTGCACACTGCAAGTCCTGACGATGGAGGGAGAGCTCCAGGTGGTGCGAAGGCATTACCGACATTGGAGAGCAACACGGTGGTCGCAGCTGTGTCAGCTGTCGCCATGCATTATCGCATTGAGAGATCAACAACTCGCCTGAGGATGAGATTGTCCGCTTGCAGGCAGAGGCAGCTGATGTAACAAGTGATGGATGCACCCAATTGCGTGTCGTTATCGGAATCCATTGTGCAATTCTGCTGCGCCATTGCATCAGGTGTGATTCCAGGGGCGACACGGAGATGGTGGATGAGGAGGAGGGGAGAGACATGGGAGGATTTCCGGCAGGTTTTTGACACGGCGGAGGGCTACTACAAGGAGAAGCTGCGGAGTGGAGTAGGCAATGGTGAGCACCGGCTGTCTGCTGGAGGTTTCCCACCTGTCCATCGTCGTCTTCCTCACCATTCATCGTTTTCGTCTGCTGCCAGGACCCCGCACAACGACGCACACGTGGAACAACACAACAAGGAGCAGGAGAAGAGTGGCCAGCAGCACGAGTGGGAACCGCCGGAGGACGTCTGCCATGAATCGCAGCACGCGAGGCGTGTACTAAACAAAGCTTGCATCAATGCGCCCGACAATAGCCGACAAAACACGCTAGACAGATGACTGCATTCGGTGGGCAGTGCGTCAACATCTCCTATAGAAAAATCAAAAAATTCGACCGTTGGACATCATGCCCAACGATGCGCGCACGGAAAACCCGGCTGCGTAAAGCGCCTTGCAGCTGAAGAACCACCCCCACACATTTCCATGCCAATGGTAATGGTGGAAGGCCGTTGGGGGGCCGTCAGGAACTGGAGGCCAGCTATGTCCTCCCAATGGACCACAGACGACCCATGCACCAACATCAACTCCAAATTAGAACACTCCGTCAATCGTGGCTCCTTCAACCCAGAGGACCTCGCAAGAACCCCTTGTATCCAAGGATGTTTTGGCTGGGGATTCCAAGGAACCCAAGGAAATCTCTTGGGAGCGTTTTCACATTCATTCAAGGAATTTGGTGAATTAGGACAGGGTGTAACAAGGCCTATTTCCCAATGAAATCTCTTGGGAGCGTTTTCACATTCATTCAAGGAATTCGGTGAATTAGGACACGGTGTAACAACAACTATTTTCAAAAAATCGGATTTCCAACGAGAGTCTAACGAGGCCCTCAGTTCCATACAATCCATGTCCTCAGGGAAGTCTACAGCCTTCTCTCCCTTTTTTTATTTATTTTAAAGTCTACGACTCTACAGCCTTTTTTAAATCTACTGCCTTCTGAAACTACTTGGCTGGTCCTTGGGCAAATCCGTTAAAATTGGATCGATACAGAGAAAACAGCTTTAAAATTGGATCTATACATAGAAAACAGTCCGTTGTGTTTGGGGAAAATCGACACTGCGTGGAGAGAGAGAGAGAGAGAGAGAGAGAGAGAGAGAGAGAGAGAGAGAGAGAGAGAGAGAGCACTGTGATGCCAAAGGTCGTGAGAAAGGGGCTCGCTCCACTACTCTCCACATTTCATTCTCATTTTGCACATTTGGTCTGAGTAGTGCAGCGACGCCCAAGAGCACGATCACAACTGTTTACGATGCAAAATCTATTACTACTATGCCATAGCAAAAGTACGTAGACGAAAGAAAGCTAGCCCAGAGGTCAGAACAGGGGAGAATAGCAAAAGCTTGGAGAATACTATAGCAAAAGTATATAGAAGATTACTGTTCTGCTATAGCAAAAGTATATAGACGAAAGAAAGGTAGCCCAGAGGTCAGACGAGGGGGGAATAGCAAAAGCTTTGTAAAGGTACTAGAAGAAGCACTTAAAATCCTCAGGACGAAATATCACATCTCTCTCTCTCTCTCTCTCTCTCTCTCTCTCTCTCTCTCTCTCTGTGTGTGTGTGTGTGTGTGTGTGTGTGTGTGTGTGTATGTGTGTGAGAATAGCAAACGCTTGGAGAAGTACTGGAGCAAGCAGCTATGATCTTCAGGGTGAGGTATCACAGCTCTCTCTCTCTCTCTCTCTCTCTCTCTCTCTCTCTCTCTCTCTCTCTCTCTCTCTCCCCGCTTTCACATTCGTCTTGGACTCCGTCTCTCCACCTCCTTACCGCCCTACTGCCCTCCTCCACATCCTCCTCTTCTCCAACTGCAAACTGCAGACTACCTTAGAAACACCTGTCCGGTCATAATACTCACACGAGGACTTCGTCGACTGCCCTCTGGAAGCAATTGCAGTCATATTGATTCATATCGTGCTGTAATTGCGGTCAGATACATCCAGGAAAGTCGTATTCTGAGTACGTCCTCAATCAATACAAAAAGGGGAAGCAAACACGATAATCCTAGCCCTCTCGATTACGGTCTTCCCCCGAAATAGAACGTACGGTCATTCTGGCAGCATTTGAGGCAACTTCCGGTCTAGGTACAAAACGTACGGCCATTCTACCTGTATTTGGGGCAACTTCCAGTCTAGGTACAGCGAAAAAACCCTACCCTCGTTTCTCCTTTTTCCTTTCTATTCGCCTTCTCCACCCATCCTCTCTCTCTTTTCCCTTCTACCTCTTCTTCCTCCTCCTCTACCTCCTCTTCCTCCTCCTCTTCCTCCTCTCCTCTTCCTCCTCCTCCTCCTCCTTCCCCACCCCCTTTACTCCTCTACCCATAACCCTATCCTTACGCCAGGCTGCAGATTGCAACAAAACTTTCCTCATCAAGACAAAGGAGGAGAGGAAAGAACTAGACGAGGAGGGACGGGCAGAAACAGATGAAAAAAGACAAAAGAAAGGACAGGAAGGAAAATAAAAGTGAGGAAAGGAGGGCGCCTTAGAAGAGAGGCATCAAGCAACAGAGGGAGAAAAGGAGGAAAAGGGAGGAAGGAAAGAGAGAAGAGGACGGACGAGGAGGACGGGAGAGAGAGAAAGATGAAGGTAAAGGGAAGGGAGAGAGAGGGATAGGGGCGGAGAGAAGGAGAGAACGAAAGAGGGAGAGGAGGTAAAGAGAGGTAGGAAAAGAGAGATGGAGAGGGAGGCAAGCAAAGGGAGCGAGGGGGACGGACGAGATGGGAGAGAGAGCAGAGAGTGGGCAGAGAGAGGGGACACAGAGGGGGCGGAAGAGAGAGATGAACGACGAGAGAGGAGGCAAACGGGCGAGAAGGAGGGAGAGGGAGGGAGAGACAGGTAGAGGGAGAGGAAAGGAAGACAAAGGAAGGAAGGATATCGCCGTCGTATGGCAGCCATCGAGCAACATCCTGACAAAACAGGATCCCGATCCGAGCACAAGTATTGCAAATGGGTCGGTCAAAGGGCATCCATCGCCAGACCACTCTCGAAATGTCCATATAATGAAAATGAACTTCCCGCTAGAACATGGCCAGATACACCGCCACATTTGGCCTTTTCACACTTCGAGAGTGCTGTGGCGAGGCCCATAGTGTGTAACGGAGATTAGAAGGGGGTGGCAAACTCATATGGCAAAAAGGATGACTCATGGACTCGATGCCTGATGAATTGATCAATAAGGTAGTTGACGAGTACCCAATGTATTAGATCGGCGCAAAATGTGTCTGCTGCCAAAGAGACAGCAAAAGATCACGGCAAAAGCATCCTCCATTCCCAAGCGACTAACCTGCTCGTTCCGCTTCTCTCTCTCTCTCTCTCTCTCTCTCTCTCTCTCTCTCTCTCTCTCTCTCTCTCTCTCTCTCTCGCTCGCTCGCTCTGTGTGTGTGT